CACGCACGCATGCACGCACGTGTAAGTTCACACAAACGCACGCACGCACGCACGCACGCGCGCACGTGTACGTGCACACGCACACATGCACACACGCACACACGCACGCATGCACGCACGTTTACATACACACGCACGCACGCATGCATGCGCGCAGGTGTACGTGCCCACGCACGCACGTCTACGTGCACATGCATGCACACACGCAAGTGTACAGGTCTGTACACACACGCACGTACGCACCAACGCACTCATGCACACACGTGTACCTGCACACGCACGCACGCATGCCCGCACGTGTACGTGCACACGCACGCACACACGCACGCATGCACACACGTGTACGTGCACACGCACGCACGCACGTTAACGTGCACACGAACGTACGAACGTGTAAGTTCACACGCACGCACGTGTAAGTTCACACGCACGCACGTGTAAGTTTACACGCACGCACGCACGCACACACGCACGCATGCACGCACGTGTACGTGCACACCACGCACGCACGCAGCACGCACGTGTACGTGCACTACATAAACAGCGCATGTGAATCTGAACATGTGGTCATTCATCTGTAAATGTCAAGCAGCACGCTTCGCTTCTGCCAACCATGACACATAACAAATACACGTGACCTGATCTATGACGTCACGTGAAACACTCCTATATAAGTGACGGCTGCCATCTTGAGGGAACCATGTCATTGACGATGAGGATGTTTGTCATCTGGTCTTTGCTGTCAGCGCTGGCAGCGATGGCTCTCAGCGATGCTGCGCCCGCAAGAACAACCGCAACGCAACAACTGCAACCGCAACCGACGACCGCAAGAACAACGTCGACGTGCCCCCCATGTAATTGCAACGTGACAGTGATGCCACAGTCGGCGTGCACGACACAGCCGCAGACCAGTGTAGGTAAGACTTGCCGCTTAAGTACTCTACTGGTAGATATGCGCAAATTAACGCCCTGAACGTAATTAAATTCCGTACTTAACATATTGAAATTGTAATTAAATCGCATAGACAAAAATGACATCGGCCGAATTTCACTTGCAGTAGCAGCTTTACTGTGAATAACCCAAGTGGTAGCACATTGCATTTTTCGTTTAAAACTCTTGTTAAGCACGAAAATGGTATATATTGTTTAAATTACATAATTACTAATACCTTGGCGACTTCTTGTTTGAGCAAACTGCATGCAGGCGCCCCTCTTCGCAAACGTTCGCCTGCGCCCCGTGATATCAATTCTGATGTGTCGAATTGAGCCATGAGCGAGCAGCGCCGGCTGTCGTGGAGTTCGGTTGAAGGTCGCGTAGTCTTCGTACGCCGATGTTTTAACCGATATCATAGCCATGACTAGACTTAATAGTGTGTCCAGTGCATGCGTGCGCGCGTGTGCCGTGTGCGTGTGGCTGTGGGTGCGTGATGCGTGTGCGTGTGTGTGTGTGTGTGTGTGTGTGTGTGTGTGTGTTGTGTGTCGATTGGGGTGTAGCGTGTGGCGTGTACGTGTGCGTGTGTCTCTTTCTTTTGGGGGTTTAACGGAACGGACGGTGAATACTTATTATACTACAGTACTATGTCCAGCAATTAATTTCACAGGTGAAGCAGAAACTAGAGCAGTAACCATGATTTTGGGACCGAATTTTATTTTACAAATAACAGAATGAAAGGTCGAGCGTTTACTTTAACCAAGACTTATAGTATGACTAGTACGGTCAGTGTACTAACATGCAGGGCCTCGAAATTCAGAGGTAATCCGGTATCGAGGTAAATTACTCTGGATGTTTGTTCATCAGGAAAACTAACAGGAATCCGTACGGTTACTGAAAATAACTGGCCCGTTATCAAGCATGCTCTTCCACCTCTACAGCGATACTCTTGTCATTAAACAAATCATTAAAATGTACACAAGCAGAACACAGAGTCCTGTGGTGCAGAGAGCCATTATACAGCATTTCAATCAATATCTGACAATGTCCTCTGTACAATAAAATTGCTGACGCTCCCAACCGCTAAAATACGCAAGTTTAAGCTTTACGGTATTTTATTCAGCGACGGTTTGTCCTGGATGCAATTTTTTCTTTCATAGTAAGATTTCGCCTACCTGTACGGATTACTTAGATTTTGAGCGGATGCTCATTTGTGAAGGAACAAATCCGTACGGATTAGTTCTTCAAAACTGGAAATTCGCGACCCTGAACATGCTCAACTAGGGCCACGGAATACACTTTTCCATCCTGTTGAAGTATTTAATCACCAAATGTAGGTATTGCTATTTATAACACTTCAGAAATGGAAATCTAACCGCATTGATCTTTTCAATGGATTCTGACGCATTCATAAGAATGCGTAGTATTTTTTAGGCGTCAACCTTGCAATCGTCATAGCTGAGCTATGCGCCAATGGGTCGTCGTCCGTATCACGTTGACCGTCCGATGTCCGTCCGTCCGTCCGTTCCGTCGTCGCGTCCGTCCGTCTCCGTGCGTCGTCAAGCATTTCGCTTCGTCAACGTATACTCAGGCAACTGTTTTACGACCATGTTTGAAATTGGATAGTTGTTCTGCTATGCTTGCCCATATGCAAGTCCTATGTTGGAGCAGCCCAGTCGACGTACTCACGAGCTACGGCAATTTTGGCAAAAATGGATTGCATTAATCAGTTCGGGTTCAACGATTGCTGCATTTTCTGGTACTGTGAATGAAGCAAGGCTAGGGGTTTGATATCAAAAAAAAAAAATTAATGCAACTTAGATAGGTTTATGCATTTATGCAAGACGCAGAAAAACAGTCTGTGTGTCACACTCGTCTGGTTTCGTTTTAAAAGATTTCATTGACATATCATCTAATGCAAATTGGTATTTCCTCTCCCCGCTGCCGATAATACTCTATATTAGAGTTGAACAGTTTTATAAAACATGTCGGAACGCAGCATAACGTATTTATTTTCGAACGCCATGCTAAAAGCGGGTATAGCGGCCATATACTGTCACAAATTGTGATTCATCTTTGGTTTATAAATTATATTGCGATATACAGATGGCAACCGTGGCTACGCCATAGAACAAACTGCATAGAATGTAAACACCTTCGATACAACCAATTAAACTTTGACCAACCGTTGTGTTATGGGCAGGGAAACACCATTGTCAGCCGTGTACAATCTAGCAGCTACGTGGAATAAGCGGAACTCATCCCTCAACTCTTACCAGTTACATACATCGGAGTACTCGCTTTTAGGGCATGCCTAAATCTGAATATTTAAAAAAATGTTATTTGTGGTGAGCTACGTGTCATTGACACTGTTTATTCTTCTGATCTCACCATCCAGGCTACCGAGTGAATGGGAGTTGGTTCTGAAGGCGTCCATAGGCGTGCCAATGAATATCTACGATCTGTGGATGCTGATAGTGTGCTAAACGCGTCAACCGCAGACGATGAGGCATTAGTTCACGCTACCGAATAAACTACAAGTCGCCAGCTCAAACAACTGGGAAAACATAATAAAGGTCAGCCGTATGAATATATATTACATTACTGAGTGACTATAGAAATCAGAGTAAATGAACCGTGGGGAGATTACACGCTCATTAGCGAAGCTATAACGAACTACTGCTAATACTACTACTGAATGCTACTGCTACTACACTACTGGTACTGCTATACCGCTACGCAACTGCTACTGGCTACAGCTACTGCTAATGATATATACCGCTACTGCTACTGACTACTCTTCGCTGCGTTACGCTAGACATACGTAACTAGCAATATGCAAACGACTATTTTAACTTCGCAGGTTAAAGTGTCACTTCTAAAGGCAGATGAGGAAGTCGTATTCGTTGACTTTAACGGTGTTGACAGCAACAAAGTAAACTGGTTTTCTCAAGACAGGATATTGCGTTCTTCATTCTCAGACCTCCCTTACTCGGCATCCATGAAGTATGCAAGCATAGCAGGGTACGTCATTGAGATCGTTCTACTGCTCATATTCCGATCTATATTAATTATAGGAACGGACACGGCAAGTGTTGTTTTAGGTCGTATTAGCCGCATGAATGTGATCCGCAAATTAAAAACTATCCAGGTTGCAAACACAGCACAGGGTTGTAGTTTGAGTAAGCTTCCAGACGGAGCACAATGTCGTTATGAAATAGATAGATATGAGAAAGGACATTCTTTTGTGATTCGGAAAAATAACAAGGAAGCTAACACGGCTTTGCGTCGCCATAAAACCTGAGGTTTCACGTCGTATATTCACTTCGCTTGTGCGCGAGTGTGCAAGCACAGACTCCGGATGACGGTGTCCCCTGAGGTTAATAGACTGACAGATAATCCGATGGGTTAACCGATGTGCCAGAGTGCGATACATATTTGTTACATATGAGCGCGTACTTGCGCAAGTAATTATTTAAATAAGAGAAAAACTAATAGCGTGTTCATTACCTTAATTGGGATTAGACGTGTGAACTGAGGTGCTTTACTTGCGAATGAACCTGTGAGCCTGTAATTTTCGACGTTTATTGTTATCATTTTTTCAGCATGGGGCAGAGGAGGTTTTACTTGGAGAAAGACCACGGAGGCTGTGACGCTGACGCTGGCTGGGTGGTCATTGCTGATCGACTAAAACCGGATGGTATTGAACACTGTGTGTGGGAGCGAGTGAAGCCTGCAGAGCGTCCAGTCTTCCTCTATTGCCCCAATGCGAGCAATTGCAAAAACATTGGTGGGTGGTGTTTTTCCTCTCTCGTTCTCTTTCTGTCTCTCGCGCGCGCTCTCTCTCTCTCTCTCTCACTATCCTTTCTCTCTCGCTTTCTCTAGATTTCCCCTTCAGTTCTCTGGCTTTTTATGTCTGCAATATTCAATCCTAACAATCAATTGTATGTCGATACGCCTGTATTCCTCTTTTACATCAATTCCTCTTCATTCTATATTTTCTATCCAAGTCGTTTTCCGTCGTATTGACCTCGCCCTCTTCCTGCCTCTATTCCTGGCCATTTGCCACTCTCTCCCATTCGCCCGTGCTCTCTCTCTCTCTCTCTCTCTCTCTCTCTCTCTCTCTCACTCTCTCTCTCTCGCTCTCTCTTCAGTTCTCTGGATTTTTATGTCTGCNAGGCTTCACAAGTGAAGGACGGCTTCTAGCACTGGACTGTACTGTATATCTTAACGGGGGATGCTCCTATGACATCTCAATTCCGGTGAGTCTGCACTACTTAGTCAACCCTGTAGATAAGCATCACTCAGTGGAATCGTCAGTTTATAGGGAGTCTGTATAGAAACGTGCTCGTGCTATAGTGGTAAGCGGTAAGTTTACCACGCTATATATACAACGTGTATTATCTCCCAATGTTTTAAAGTTTTGGCATACTCTTTCCTTTGTGATCTTGCCTTTACGTCCACCGTCGTCACACATTACATGATGTAACGGTGTAACATGCAACGGTATAACATGTAACGTGTAACATGTAACGTGTAACATGTAACGGTATAACATGTAACGGTATAACATGTAACGGTATAACATGTAACGGTATAACATGTAACGGTATAACATGTAACGGTATAACATGTAACGGTATAAGTTATACCGTTACATGTTATACCG